TCTGTGTAAGGCTGCTCAGCAACAGCTAAAACATCCCTGTGTTATCAACACTGTTTTCAGCACAAATCCAAAACATAGCACCATACAAGCTACTAGGAGAAAATTAACTCTATCCCAGCCAAAACCAGTATACTTATACACAAGCCCATTGTAATTACTGCATTCTGTCAGTGAACTATCTTTTGTAGGCTTGTCTACCATGGAGGCCAACACCAAATCCTCAAATAACTGAGTAGTTGTGAGAGCTTAGGGTACTGCGAGTGACCTTTTTATTTGATGTACCAAATAGGAAGAATTGTTATACTTTTTAACCTGTGTGTAAACTGTTTTAGTAATGTATGATAGAATAAAACAAGGCACACAGTAGAATTTCAGAGTAAGGTATTTTGGTCCCCTCTGTGAAGGGACCCACTTTCAGAGGGACATAATGAAGAGGTCATAGCTTCTGTAGCTGTTTTCTGTTGGTTTTAGATTTCTTTGTTCAAGAAATAATTGGAATTGATAAGTGTGATTGTTTTGCTTACCATTTATGGTGCTCAGTAGGCCATGGTAAAGAGCTGCACCTGATAAAAATAATGGGGGTTGGTTGTATCATTTCAAGTTTCTATAGATTATAACATCTCGGCAACTTTATTTCAAGAACTGATTAGTGCTCAGGAACTTGAAACACCTTTTTCAGTCCCACAGAAGGAGTACTTACTGCCTGCCTCAGAATCTTACAAGTTGTTAAGCCTACAGCACAAAGTAACACTGACTTTTGGAAAACAGAGCACTCTTACAGTGTATTTTGGGGTAGATACCAACCTCAGGAAATCATTACTTTGGCTAATATGACTGGTGCTTTTGATGTCTGCTATCCAGGGAGATCTGTGCTTGCCAGTCAGCTAAAGCAGAAACCTTACTGACACATTCTTGAAGAAAGGAAGGTTATTTAGACGCAATAATCCTGTTTCTTTAAAAGACCATATCACTGTGTATCTCTCTGCCATTGGCACTAAACTGCAGAATTAAAGAAGGATCATAGCTCTTCCTGTAATATGTTTATACTTTAATATGGGAGCAGGAGGCATCCTGGGTAACACAAATTTACTCAAACGGTGTTGCTGCTCAAGAAGTTCCAGTCTTGCACTCATAAAGTGTCTGTGCACTTGTAATAAGATCTAAACTGTCTGTGTCTCAGTAAGGGTGAGTCAGTGTAGAATAAAAAAAAGTATTTTTCTGTAAGATGGACAGCTTAGCAATACTAGAGAAATAAGTGTCTCTCTCTGACTTGTTTCTTTTGTCAGCATGTCTGACTTTTTCCCTTGTTATTCTAACCTTTACAGTGAATTTCTTGGTCTTGTTTTTCTTGAGTTCAGGATTACTTTGACACTATATTAGAGATATTATGCTAATTATATTTTATTACCTCTAAGATTAAAAAGATTGACAGTCAACGTGTTTATGTTCAGTTAACTAAAGCTTAAGTTTTTTCATTTCAGAGCCTAGTTTGCAATCTGGAAAGAATATTAGTATATGAAAATAAGAATTGTAGTCAGAAATATGGCTAAACCCCAAGTATTTTATTATACAAAACCTGAGACCAGAATTCTGTAATACCAACAGTTGTCAAAGCTGGAGTGACTTCTGAAAATTACCTTGTGATTCTCCAATTAAAGTCACTATGTGTGTCTAAACAAAGGAAGAGGTGTGTGAGGAGTAGGAGATAATACTTACTTTTGATGGGTATGAGCCTGTGAGTGCAAGCTTCACAATGTTTGGAATTTTAATTATAGCTTAAATATGTATATAGAGATGATCTGATCAAATGCTCATTAGCTCCTCCGTGGGTTCCAGCTGAGAGAAATCAGGCAGCATGGACCCTGGTTCTGTAACTGGTAAAGTTCATTGCAAACCTCATGTTGATTTTAATTATGAGAAAGAACAGGTCCTGAGTAAGAAGTATTACCAAAAATGTAGTGTGATTTATTGCTATGTATTCAGATACTCTGCAAATCAGTTTAGTGTTTCACTGGCCTATTTCGTGTTCTGTCAGCTTGTCTGAATTACTAGCTGCTGGCAAGAATTGTTAGCAATGGTTATAGTGATCCATTGCTTGAGGTGGTTTTATCATGTAATACCAGAATAAATAATGTTAAAAGTATATGATTTCACTTTTCTTTTTTTTTACTATTCCAGCATATACCTACTATTAAACTTTATTCCTTATCAATTCATATTTACAAAGTGCGATCAGCAGCGATTTGTTATTCTCCTCTTGTAGGCAAATTGCTGTAGTTTGGGAGTCTAAGCCTTAAGATGTATGCAATGATAAATATTGCTGTGTATTGTGATCCTTCTTCACTAGCCTAAATCCTCTGTGACTTTGGATTTTTACTTTGTTCCTTCTTCCTGTTTTCTAAAGCAACTTCCATTATTTTCCGTGTGCTTTCAAAAGACTTCTGTATTTTATGACCTTTCCAGGGATGTCCTCAGACTGCTTTTCACTTCCATGATACACTTTTCTGAAGTGGGTTGAAAGATATTGCAAACAATATTCCAAATTAAGCCATGTCAATAACAGGGATGTCTTACTCTCATTTTTTATTCTGATGTTTTTCATCCTATTTCTTACTTAATCTAACACCTTCGTAGCTTCTTTAACTGTGCTAAATGTTGAGTAGACTTTCCGAGTGTTTATGGAAATATGTACATGTCTTTCTCAATTTCATACAGTTAATTTAGAATTTTAAGGTGTACTGATTGCTGATCTCTGATCTTACACTTCTTTTGAGTTTGGACACGAAATGGTATGTGCTGTTGTGTTCCCTAGTTACTTAGTTTGTCTTGAAATTTTTCTTAGTTTCTTAGTTCTTTTTGGCCTCGCTTATTGTAATCACATTGTATGCAGAGTTTTAATTTCACTACTCCTTGCCCTTTCAGATCATTTGTAAATATATCAAAGCAACAGATATGGGATTTTGAGATAGAATGCTGTTGACCTATTCTTTCAATGAAAATTGATCGTTTAATCTTACTTCTGCATTTTTTCATTAGTATTCAGATTTTTCATCTCGCCTTCTGACTACTTCACTTTTTCATAGTCTTTTATGCAGGATTTTCTTCAGTTCCCTTTAGAATTCTGTCACTGTGTCACAGCTGTAGGCTTGCTTAGCAGTTGCAGGGCAGTGTGGGCAGTTTTCCTGTTTTGTTTTTGTAGTCTTGGTGGAAATCAAGGCTCTTGAGTTTGTTTCATGTGCAAGAAAGTGTGGTGTTTTCCTGTAACAAGCCTTTGTTCTGAGGTGCATTGAAATTGCTTTACAGGAACTCTTTGTTCTTTTGAAACAAGTCATAATGTAAGTAAAATCCCCATGATAATGGCAATAGGTAACTAATACCGGAAATTCATCAGCTATACTGACAGAAATATACCATGTATATGTTCTGTTTCACCTAGTTAAGTGATTTCCTATTCATACCACATGACAGTGATGTAGACTGTTGTGCACCTTGCAACCTGTTTTGTTTGTGTGAATGTAAATTAAACTAAAAATGCTAATGATACAAGTGTTTTTAGGAATATCAGCATCTATGGGAAAAAGTCGAGTAGAAGACTTTTTTCTACCCCTCAGTGAAGAAATTAAGTTTTTTTGCCTACTGTATGTTTTTTTTTTTCCCCCAGCCATTTGCTAGACTGGTAATTAAAGTCATACTTACATTACAGAGAAAGTCGACCCTTCGGCTGCCATCTGAGGAGGACTAGAATAACGTGGTATTGATAGGTGTGAGAAAGACAGATTTGTGATGGCACAGACTTTAAAGACTCTTCCGCAGTTGATACTCTTCTTTATGTTCAGTGCCATCAGTGAGAAAATGATAAAGATTGCATGAAACTCAAAATACTGAGTTACATCACACAGCACAGTCTGTTATTTTTACACATATTCACTGTGGCTGGTAGTACTGTATTTTTCCATGAGATTATACCCAGAAAGTTGTAGCTGATAGGTAACATGAGAAGAAAATTACAGTCTATGCCTGTTACGTGTCTGTCATTAGAATAATTCCAAGTATCATTTATATGTTTCTTTCATAGAATCATAGAATCATAGAATCATTGAGGTTGGAAAAGACCTCTCACTAGATGGAAATCTTGGAAGCAAATAAAGGAAGAGTGTCTGTCGAATAATCGTGTAGGAATGGCTCTTGAATTAGTGATGAAGTCTCTTTATTATTGTTTTCTGTTGATTTACTGTGTTTAAGTATGCAAAACTTGTTCAGGTTTTATTTGGGTTGTAATGCAGTAGATGTCTCTAAAATTCAACTACTGTTGGTCTTAGTTCTGCTGAGGTGGATTTATTTTGCCATTTAAGGCATGCTTCGGAATATGTTATTGACCAAGATAGTTCTCTGGGGAGCATGGGGGAAACTCCTCTTTTCTGCCTGCTGAAACAATAATAAAAATAATGGACAAGCAGCAGTAGTCATTGTAAAATTTTAACCTGATGTCCCTCTATTTCTTCTCTCTTTCACCAAATCCATTCTCATACATGGCTGTAACAAAAGGCCTGTGCACAGTCTATAATGAGGCCTGCCAGGGTCTTGTGGGAGTGTTTTCCTGACGATTGTTGTAGTTACTATTATCTCTTTATGCCATTAGGGCCAGTTTTCCGTATCATAATGCTGATAAATCTGCTATTCAGAGTGAAAGTAAAGTCCTTATCCCCTCCTTTGACCTTGCCTACTGTCTGCAATTTCCTTTTTACATGAGGAATTGATGTCAGTAAAAAACTTTCTTCACAAAAGACATTTGTCCACAAGATGACAGTGCAGTGGATTGATTAAGTGAAGATGGCTCTGAACTAGATTCAGCCACTAGCAGAGAAAGAAGCTTAGTCCTATTTTGTTTAATTAACGTGTGAGGTAGGAAACAAAGTCTTGTGCTTAACTACACCAATACCTGTTCAGAGGTGCAATTAGAAGTTGTAATGTTGGCAGGCTGTTTAAGTGGAAGTGAACTGGTAGCATGAGTAGTTTTGATATCTGGCTGAAATTGCATGAACTTGCCAGGGTAGATATTTTGAAATTCTTTCATGCATACCTGTTCAAGAAACGTAGTAGAGAATCAAAATAAATCTTTACTAATTCAGATCTGCTTTACATTTTCCTTTATGGAGAGGGACTACCTTGGAATATTTCCAAATAGATGGATTCACTTTGTGTGTATTTCTATTAGGAATGAGTTAAAGCATTCTGAATTTATTTGGACCGAATACTGTATGAAGTTAAAAGAAACAGAGGAGAAGATTATAAAGGATGAAAAACACCTTGAGGAGTTAGTGAAGCAAAAAGCAGAAATCCAGGAAGATGCAAAATGTTGGAACAGCAAAGTGAGTCTTGAATATTTATAAACAAGCAAATAAATGAGTATCTTTTATTGAAAAGTACATGAATGCCTGAAAATTTTGTATGTTTAAGAGTTAAGGTCCTCTGTAAAAGTAAAAGCACAAATACTGATTTAAAAATAAAAAGTGGTAGATTCTATAGAACTTTCATGTTCATTCTTCTGTTGTAGTGTTATTTTTCAGCTTTATTTATTAAAAATATCATAATCATCTTACATTCCTTTAAGTGACCTGGATATTTTTAGTTGTTGGATGCATATCTGCTTAATATTGCTTATCTTCTTAAATCATTTGGAAGAAAGTGTGCATTTAGTGCGACAGCATAAGTGTCCTCTTGAATTAGTAGATTTTTTGACCTGAGATGGCACGTGATGCACTCTTACAGCATGCAGAGTGATACCCTATTTTACTTAAAATTCCCCTGTTTTCTGCTATATTTGTCTAGCATTCATTTTGAAATCTTGTACTTGGCAGTTTAAAATCTGAACTGGAGTTCCTCACACTGCCTGGCTAGGAGTTTTCAATTAATTGACAGCTCCATATGTGGAACCAATAGAAAATGCCTAAAACAGGGTTTCAATGCCCACAACAGAACTTGTTATTTTTCATATGTATGTGTATTTATGTGTATGTATATATGTATAAATAAAATATGAAATTCATTCTCTTGTACATGCCCAGTACTGTTGTGGTTTGTGCATCTAGATAGCTAGGTCCAGTGGAATCCAGAATCTAGGTGGAGTATTTCTGAGAAGCTGAATCCACCAAGCATGCCTAGAACTTAGCAAAAAAACCCAAAGCACACCCCCCGGAAAAGTAAAGATAAAGTCATATTAGACAACAACCAATGGGCGTGTTCTTGCCGTTTGTTTCCAACTGTGTATTACAGTTTTCTTCCTGTTACTGGCACCAGCAATTGCTACCAACTGATAACTAGAAAACCACTATTTTCAAATAGAGCCAATACTTATTAGTAAACCTTTTTTTTTTTTTTAATTTTCTAGATTTGTTTCCAGCTGGGTTTGCCTGACCTGATATACTTCAGTAGGTACTACTTGGGTATTAAGACCAACACAACGGAAAGAGAGAAATGTGCAACAGGGGTAAGGTGGAGCATGAAACTGCTCCATTTGGTGACCACCTTTGGTGAGCCAGAGTTAGGTTTAGCATAAAACTGTTCTGTTATTGTCAATTTCCTTCAAAAACATGACTAAACCAACTAACTGAATAAACCTTTACAAACAATAGTGGATTTTCAGAAAGCTCAAAGTGATTCTTCTGATCATCATAGAAATGTTACTGGGACAATGGAGTTATTTTGGTAATCGGGAAAATATTGGGATTATTTTCAGTGACTTCAGAGGGTTTGAATTGGATCCAAATTATAACATGTCAATTATGACGTAGGTCAACAAGTTTCAAGACAGAATTAGTGATGTGAACTAATATTTTTCTGCATTTTTTTTCCTGGCTTTTTTTCCTTGTTTTAGTTCATGCTGTTTTTTTAAATTTTATATATGAGTTCTTGGGAGCGTTACAACTTTTGACACTGTAGGGACAACTCTGAGTTTTCTTTTTTCCATGTTACCCAGATTTGCATTACAAAAGGTATCTGTATGCATTAATCCATTTTCTGTATCTACGTGGGCTTTGCTCTTCAAAGACTAGAAGAAACCCTTCTTAGAAAATTAATCTCATACTTAACTATTCTTCCTTTATTCTTTTGTCTTCATTAATTACCTGCACAGTGTGGCAGTATTTCAGGTGTTTCCTGTCAAAATGTTTGGTCTAAAAACACTGAAAGAAGGAAAAATATTTCTGAATCATGTTTTTCCCATGTACTAGCAATTTAAAAACTGGGCCATTTTGCTCATACTTAATCCATTGGAGTTTTTTTCCCTGTAGATATAAGCAATTTCTTTATCTTTCTCACACTTCCCCTGAACTATATTTCATAGAATATTTTACATATTGAAAGACTTAACAATTTGCTTGTTCATCTCCTTTTTCTAGATTAGTAAAGGTGCTTCTTTGCAGTTTTTCCTCATAGATCGTGTTTTATAATCCCTAACCATTCAGGTTAGGACCTTCAGTCCCCACCTAGTTAGGAAGGTACAGCCATACAAGGACAATCAGCAGAATCCTAGAGAAGTACAACACAGCTATGACATTCTGGACAAGATAACAAGACAAAACCTATATTGTTTCCCTCCTTAGCTGCTGGGACATAGTCAGAAAGTATTTTACATAAATCTGCTTTTCATCAGATTCTTGATGTAGCAGTAGGAAATTACATGCCATTTAGGGTACCTGTGTCCTAATTCTGTCCTGCTCTTCCCATGTGTATTGTCTACCCTTATGCTAACATCCTTATCAACCCTGATCCTGCTTGGACACATTTGTTGTCTAGTCATATTCCAGTTAGACCCATATCTCTATGGAGATTGTATAGGTAAGTTCTTGCCAGGATAGCTATGTTGTTTCAGCCTCTGCAGAGGAAAGAGAGGTGAAGGAAGCAAAATTCATTAGGCTCAATGTGAGCAGGCATGCCTTTATCTATCTAAAGCCACTTTAGATGTTTTTCTTATCCTCTAGATGCTTCCCTAACATCCTCATTTTTCCTTAAGCTCCAGTGATTGATCCATCATTGAATCTCTGTATGAATCTGTATTAAGTCAATAGGTATACTGAGATATTGAGGAAAATCTCGAGGCTGAGAGGAACTTAAGGTATTCTGCTTAATTATACCACATATGTCATGTACGAATTAGCAGGCTGTGAGTGTGTGCTTACTGATACTGTGAAGTCTAAAGATTCTGCTGGGATACATCGCAATGGCAATGTGCATATGAATAATATAGCATGAAATATCTCTAGTTACTGTTTAATAGCCTTCCTTTTAAATTTATTTTTAAATATATCTTTTAATTATTACAAAGAAATATAGGAGATATTTGTATTACTTACTTTACAAAATATTTTCTATATAGAAGATTTGAATAACAAAATAGCTGCCCAAGGAGATGAGAGCATAAAAATAGCAGATGATTCTTCTGAAGTGATTAAAGCTGTGGAAGAATTAGTAAGTTTTTTATTGTTTTTATAGAAAAGAAGTAAAAATGCTTGCATGCTTACATTTTCTGCATTGGCCTGAAATAATTTCAACTTATGCTAAAGGTGTCTTAATGTTTTAATGTTCATTAGAAATCCACCAGGGAAAGTGATCTATATAAAGCAAAAGCTTCTCAAAATTAATGAAGCATTGGACATTTTGAAATGTGAAAATGAAGAACTTGAGGAAGAAAATGAAGAGGTTTTGCAAAAATATAGATATAGGTAATGCCTGCAATATAAATATAGGAAGCAAGCGTTATTTCTTCACTGAAAGCATGCCTATAAAAGTGAACCTTGCTTTTATTTTAAGTCTGTCTGTAATTTAACATTTCAATAATTAAAAATCACTTCAGGCTGAAATTTATCATATAACTTTTTTGCCCTTCACTTGAAAGGAAGTAAAAACTTTGAATTTTATTTGTATTTTTTTCATATATGATGATTATAAACATAGAATCTGAAATACTGTTTTTCTCTATTTTCTTTGAATTCTTGTAAGACATTATGCACACATCTTTTGTAGCTCCTCAGTTTATTGATTCCAAATAACTATACTTTATTGTACATAATATTTTCAGTGCGTTTATAATACAACAAATAAAATCAATTTTAGTTCCTTCCTCCTTTGGATTTATAATATAACAAATAAAATCAATTTTAGTTCCTTCCTCCTTTGGACACTAGGTGTGTGCCGGTTTTATGTATCTGACAGGCTATCTTCTTTATCCCCCCAGTAACTTTGGATTTTATTGTCTGGTTTCAGCAAAGTCAACTGAAAAGAAAAGTTCTTGAAAATAATTAGATTCTCATAAGTTTTGTAGAAACTGATGACTGAGTTGAATACAGACATCCTGTCAGCAAGAAAACATTCCTTACTAGACCCCAAAAATTTCATACAAGAGATGTGGGAAAAGGGAGGAGATAAAAAGATGAAAGAGGGGAGGAGGTATGTGCATACTCCTTAATAATGCTCCAAGTTAGACCTCACACCTTACATACCGAAGTAAATCAACGATGGGACACAAATGGGTAAGAAACCAGGCTTCATTAGTTCTGATGTTGATGGAACTACTTACTGGGATTATTAGAACATTTTAGAATTAGTGCTGTAGCTTTACAAATTTATTATTTTAATTTCATTGACATCTTTTTTGATGGAAGAAAACTTTTATTTCTTCATACATGTAAGACATGGAGAGAGATCTTGCATGTGGTGGAAGTATTAACTGATAGGCTGAAAGAGGAAACTCAGATTGGTAAGAACATGTACAGGCAAATGCAGAACCTAAGGAGAGAGAGGGGAGTTCTCAGAAAACAGATTTGGGAAGCATTATTACTTGAGACCATCTTGTACACTAAAACTTTGCAAGCATCCTAGAAAGACTAGACAAGTTCACAAGAGAAGTCCTTTGAGCATTACCTATTTCATATATAATCGGTATTGTTGTGAGTGTGTCCTAATTATTGTCCTTCCACATGTTCAGGAGTTCAAGAAATGCATATGAAAGTTCAGATTCAAGACCCAGAGAATGGTTATGACAAATTCAGAGTAATGAAGGATTCCAGGAGCTCTGTTTATTTATGTCTTCAAAGGACAATCGGCAGACATCCTTTGAAGGGGAAATATTTTTTCAGACTGCTATTTAGTCTAGTCCCAGGAAACAATGAGTGGAGGCTGTATATAGAATCCAATTTTAAGTGGGTTTTTTTAAAAGAAAAATACTAATTCAGAAGAATTACCTTTTAAATCTTGCTTTAGTGGAAAAACAGGATTCTTAGTCAGACTGATACAATCCCAGATTTCTGTACAGTACTTTCTTATGATAATTTAAGTTAAGTCTTAGAAGGATTTTCTGGAATGCTATTTTATAGAGCCCCTACACTCTCTCAATTCTACTTTCAAGACCACTGACCTAGCATGAAACATTTTAGTTCTTAAGGGAGAAAGGAATTGCTAATCCCTCCTAAAAGTTAGAAGTTGTATGCATTCCTCTTATGTGTTACTGAGTGCAAGCTCAAAGGAAGAGTGCTGTTTGTAGGGCTTTTTATTTGAAAATCCCCTTTTATCTTTTTGGAGTTCTTGACTGAATAAGGAGTGTTTTAAACAAAGGCTATAACTAACTATAGTTCTCTTGGGGAACTTGTCATTAAGTGCTATGGGAGAGGCAGGATGTTTGGTTCTGCTCAGAAACCTTTAATTTCTTTGATCTGCCACTAATCTCTTGCTTTATATTGGAAGTATTTTGCATGTCAGATCATTAGTCTGATACTCCGAGCCTTTTGTAGCCTCTCACAAACTTTCTCAATATAATTATGCTTTATTTTTCATTTTCCTTTCTGAGTACATTGTGATTTCTGTATGGTCTTTTGAATTAGGGAAGAACTGCTGTATTTTATTTAATTGCTATATTCCATCAGAATGTGATTCTTAAAATCAACACATTGTCTCATGTTAGTCTAAGACTTGGAGTGCTTGTTTTGATTAATTGTATACTAACAAAGTCCTGACATGTTACTTCAACAGGACTAAAAAGTGAGTGACTGTCCACCTTCTGCAAGGCTGCAAGAAGATAGAGAATTGTCTTCTAACACTCTTCCTAGAAAGCTTAGTTGTGTATCTTTCCTATTTAGAACATGCAGTACATGCAAGAAATACACCTCATGATCACCTGAGATTTTAGGGGCACATGCAGTCTAAATAGTCTCATTTCCTGTACAAGGTGGGTAAAAACCAAAGCTCAGCAGCCCCCAATTCATCTTTATTGACTGAACTTCTAACTTTGTGTCCAACTGTTAGTACTTTTTTTTAAAATATTTCTGTTGTAGTTATGTTTTGGCAGGATTTCTAATACAGTGGTCAACTGAGAATATGTGTTGGCTTGTCTAAACAATTTTAATTTCTTTCTCTCACCTTTATAACAATTCTTATTTTAGATCAGTTACCCAATAACCCTATGACATGGAGATTTGATCATAAGTATTATGTTCCCACTATGAAGTTCCAATTTCATTAAACTCTCCCAAACCTGTCTTCTATGGTGGCTGTCATATTAAATAAGAAGGGAAAGTGTTCTTACAGCAGTAACTTAGAGGACACTCTCAAATGTCTTAATGCTTTTGAAAAGAAGGTATACTCCTTCAATTAAGTTAAGGCTGCTTTACTGACTAAATAAGAATATTTTCTGCATGACTTTTCTGAAGCCTGGGGAATGGATTTTAGATACAATTTTTCTTCTTCCTTATGGAAGCATGACTGCTTCTGCTGATCTGTAAACATATGGTTTGTACCATGAGATATGCAGTCTTCTTTTGAGGACTTAACCATTTGGTGGGCATCATCTCATAATGCAAAAAATAAACATTCCTTTACTTATTCCCAAGTGATCTTTATTCTCAGAGTGTTTTCTTGAGCATTTCAGTTTTGTTTAGCAGAGATAATGTTTCACCTGCAACTACCTGTCTTCAGAGGAAGAGGTAGCATTTCAACAAAAAAAAAGATGAGCAACCTGTATCTTTCATTGTCTCATATAGTTTAACAAGAGTAGCATTTTTGTAAGTGTAGCTGGACATCGTGAATTTTGCCTTCTGTCTCTTTCAAACTGACTGCTTCAGTCATACATAGAAAAACCTTATCATAAACAGTTGGATCCTGGATACAATGCAAAGATTTTTATGTCTGGTACACTCCCTTCTCTCAGCCCTTGTTTATGAGAATCTTTCTTAGTTTGAAAGCTACAAGCAGTTCCCAGTCTGGACAAGGTGAGGAAATTTTCCTCTTTGGGTCAGAATATAGCAGCTACAAAAAAGGTATTCTGTTTCAGACCTTCACGTGCAGCTGATCGTTCAGATGGTCACTCCAGCTTTTGATTGGAGATTCCTTGAGTAGGAGTGGTTCTCATGTCTCAAACTTCACTACAGTAATTTCATGTATTTTTAAAGATACCTGATTGTACAATGCAATAATGCATGCATTTTCAATCTCTTGGGACCACTTTCAATACAGTTCTGTCACGTGGTGTTTCGACACCTTCAAGGCCTTCACCAAGGTTGTTGCAAAGGGTAACAGGTACGACCTGTATCTGGATAAAGGGCTGTTAAGACTTTCAGAGAAGATGTTCCTCACTTTGTCCAAATTCTCCTAGTTCTTTTTTGTTCTCTGGATAGCTGGTAAACCATCAGTTGTCCTATCTATATCCTGTGCAAATTCTGGAGCTTATTTGGGCCATGTTGGAGTCATGGACTCATAACAGATGACAGAATGTATGATACCTTCTGTTAGAGTCTGCAGATGAATCCATAGGTTGATCGCTTTCCATATGCCAGTTGAAGAAACGTGAAAATTAACCCTGTAATGAGATTGTCAGAAGATACAAAATCCTTGGAGCATCTATGTATGTCATTGGCATCCAAGATGATCCTAACAGTTGTAGTTCTGCTAGATAAATCAGAAGCACAGGACACTATCTCCCAAAGAACAAAGTTTGATCATTCGAAACTCATATCCTTGGTGACCACATTCATATAATGAAGGATAATAACAATATTAATGGTATATATCAGCAAACTAGAGACATGGTATCCTCTCTCTTTTCCTGTGAAACAACCTGTCCCTGGAATTGAGACACCTGGCATTGTATGTTCTCTAATTTTACTGAAGATGCTGACAAGTTACATCAAGCTGTGGGGTGGTTTTTGCCATTTTCAAGGTCTGTGTCTTGCCGAAGTAACCCTTTTGCCTTGAGTTGCTATAGTTATCACCAGACGTCTTGCTCCAAACACAACCTGAGCTACTCAGGAGGTGGAGACTGCCAGATCGCTTGAGCCCAGGAGTTCTGGGCTGCAGTGTACTGTGCCAAGTGCGGGTCCATACTAAGGCTGGCATCTATATGGTGATCCCTGGGGGACTCGGGGTGAGCAGGTTGCCTAAGGAGAGGGAAGGTGTAATTGCTGATTGTCTCCAAGAGATGGTTCCCAGAGTACTGGGATGACAGCAATGTGGATCAAATGCCAGACTAGGCTCAAGGCCACTGCTTTTATCATACATCTCTCAGGTAAAACAAAACAACCCAGCGGACAGCAAAAGCTGAAAGCAGCCATTATTAAGACCAACAAATTAACTGCTAAAAAGCTAAAAATTCAGTCTAGCACACTCTGATCAAATATGTCATTATCTTGCACCCCTCTTGAGCCCCCATATTGTGTCTCAGAAAAGACTGGTGGGT